GACACAAGGAGACTAAACAACTGCAAAGAGACATTAAAGGACCAAAGGAGACAAACAACAACAAAAACAAGATAGAAAATAACCAAAACTGTCCTGACGAGACACACGACATAAACAAAATACAAAACAAGAATGAGACAAAAACGTCAAAAATTACACACAAAAGGAGACAAAACTGTCCGACAGAGACACAAAACAACTACAGACAACAGCAACAGCAAGACATCAAATGACCACGAAGACAGAACAACAGGATCCGGACAGAACTTGAGAACCAGCTGTGGGAGCATGAAGTGATGGACACATGAATATCAAATGATCCTGCTCTCTGAGGACTGCTGGACGCTGGTTCTGTACTGGGGCTGCAGTACTCGTACTGGCTGCAGAGTATTTGTACTCTGAACCCCGGCTGAGGCGGTTAAACCCCGGCGGTGAAAGGAGGCTTTGTCTGCGGGGGGATCATGTGATCGGCTCCCTCACAAAGGCCTCCAGAGGGTTACCCAACCAAAAAAATGTAAATAAAGGAGGCGGAGGGGCTGCCATTCACACATGATGGAGGGGAGGGGTTACCGTGGCAACAGCAGGTCGGCCCAACACCACCTTAGAGCCGCTCGCAGACGTTATCTTTAAACGAGAGGAAAAGCTAATGAGGTCTGGCAGCAGAGAGCCGAGGCTCTAATGAGTCCAACGTGTCTGTTTGGGCCGAATTCTTCTGAAAATAACAGATAATCTCTGAACTCCTGTCTCTGACGCACTGCAGGAAATATTTGGACTCCTGCTCGCTTTCCACTCCACGAGTTTAGGAAGCCAGACGGCAGAAAGGCTCCGTTTCTCTGCAGTAAATACACTGTCCACTTTATTAGGGACACCTGTGCAGCCCGACAACATCACTGCTGTTAAAGCCTCTGCATGCTCACTAGAAAGGTTCATGACAAACACATGTGGAGGTGAAACCTGTCACCTCAGGGTCCGGCTCAGACACCACGCCACACAGTCACATGACCACGAGACACAAAACTACAGAAGACAACGACAAGAGTCCAGATGTAAAAACAACACAAAGAGACACAAAGTGACCACAGAGAGACAGAAACTAGAGGCTGAACCATCAAAGCCATGAACACACTAATGCATCAGTAAATAAGTGCTGCACTAAAACGGGCCATAAACACACTGAACACTGACGTCACACGACGCTGTGAGCCCGGCATGTTCATCAGCTCCACGTCATCAGTCCTGTTGACCACTAATGATCGTACTGTATCAGCTGTTCCTAATGAAGTGAGCGTGTTCATTTATATGCATTAATGGCTGATATCAGGATCAGAAGTGTGAGAATAAATGGGACTCAAATGTTTAGTTGTTGACAACAACAGCTAAAGTTCCAGCAGCTACGACTAAACGATGCCCCGACGGAGCAGATGTGATCCATCAGGAGTCTGGCCTCTGTTCTGTGTTTCTGTAAACAACTGTTGATGTGATCCGTTTCAGACTTGCTGGGCTTGTTTCTGGGAACCCCATGAAGTGCAGCGTCGAGTCTGAAGTAGTTTGGACAAGCGGACCTCGAGAAACAAAGAGCTGCAGCGACGCATTCGATGACACAACCGATGACTGCAGCCCTCGGAGCAGCAGCTCTCCCTGAAGCCTCCACCCCCAGCAGGTTAAAGCTCCTCACCGTCTCTGCAGGTCTTGCCGTCCTCCAGCAGCTGGACTCCGGTGGGACAGGCACACTGGTAGAAGGGCGCCGCCGGAGACAGCAGGCAGAGGTGGGAACATCCTCCGTTCATCTGGGAGCAGGAGCTGCTCACTGCTGGGACAAACAAGCGGTTACCTGAGGCTCAGAGACCCACACCCACCTGGACACTGCTGGACGCTACAGTGAAGGAACCCACATTATTGTGGACTTCAAGCCAAAACAATCTCATAAAATTAGTGAAAAACCCATTACTTCTCCCCCCGACCTGCTAGAACCAGCTGGTTCTGTGCATGAAGGTAGAACTCTGCTTCACCGATATCCTGCAGTATTGCAGATATTTTAACTGGGCTGGTTCTGAGGAGGTCAGGGGGAACTTTTATTACATGAAATTACCCAATAAAGGTTAAACATTAAAGACTTGTACCGACGATCTGTTCTCAAACCATCATCAGTCGGTTTAAAACTCGCCGACTCGTGTTTAAAGTGGACATTTGACAGTTTCAAGGTCGGTGCTGGAGGCTCGGTTTGTAGTCGGACTCTGTGTTTCACTGTGTAGTTTTATTCAGTAATACTGTGTTCGGGTCAGGGTTATATTTCTAGTTGATGAACTACATTTTGTGTGTCCTCCATCGTCTCCACTGCCCACCAACCATTCAGCCTTATTTAGTTTGATCAGTTATTCTAAAGCACTCTGATGTGATTCAATTCATCTGAAAAGTGCTGCACTGGAAACCTGAAACAACGACGGGTCAGAAAACGCTCTGAAGTAATGTCAGATACCTGCTATGAGTGGATCTAAAACAGCGTGGTGTCATGTTCTGGCCTCACGCTGCAACAGAACGAACCCGTTTACAGCTCTGGACCTAAACTAATCCTTTCATCAACACACACAACAGGAGAACCTGTAAATAACACCGATTCAGAACCGTTTGACTCACAGCTCGGCTGCCTCTTGGTGCTGAACACATGGATGTCCATCGGGGAGAAGATGTCCGAGTGGACCACCCGCTGCTCGGCGCCGGTCTGCTTCCTGCAGGAGTGGATGGAGTGGGTGTTCCAGTCGGTCCAGAACAGCGTGTCCTCGTACAGCGTGAGGGCGAAGGGGTGAGGCAGCTCCCCTTTGACCACCACCTCCCTGAAAACACACCAACGGGTCAGACAGAGCCGCGGCAGGTCGGGGCCAAACCGGCCCGGCCCGAACTGCTGATACGTACCTGGAGGTTCCGTCCAGGTTGGCTCGGTGGATGAAGTTGTGTTTGGCGTCGGCCCAGTACAGCTTCTGCTGGCTGTAGTCCAGCGTCAGCCCGTTGGGCCAGTAGATTTCCTTATCAATGATCATGGAGCGATTGGTCCCGTCCATCCCGGCCCGCTCGATCTTCGGGATCTCACCCCAGTCGGTCCAGTACATGAACCTGAGGACACCAGTAGGACACCGTCAGAGGTCGCCATGGAAACACTGACACACAGCTGCAACTAAGGACGACTGTCCGGATGAACTGAAGGTCTGAAGCAGGTGATCAGCTGCAGACTGACACCAATAAAATCAGCCAAACATACAATAAAAGGCCCGATATAGCATCAAAACCTCTTTATTCTGCAGGTCTCATTTAAAAAGTCTCAAAAAAATAAAGCATTTGCTCAAACCAGACTCACAAAATAACAAAAACAAGACACACAAACTGAGCACAAAGAGACAAAACCTTCCACAGATGCACGAAACAGCCAAATGAAGACACAAAGAGAAACGGTTGTAAACAGCTGAACGTATGTTAGTGGAGATTTTCCTGTTTCCATCGTTCTAACAGAACACGTCTGTCTCCTTCATGTTCTGGTTCTGTGGAGCTGCAGGACTTCATGCTGCAGCCAGAGTTCGGATCCAAACTGATTGAACCCAACGTTGAGGCTCAGAGCTGCTGGGACTGCTCCACTGAAACGGTGGATTAGAGTGGACGCTGAGAAGTTTGAACACTAAGCAGGTGCTGATCCTCCAGAACTCGTTGTCAGGAACAGAAACCGAACACACGGAGTGAACAAACCCATAAAACTAACAGCCAACCCAAGTGACAAACAAAAGCAGTGATGGATGTCAGAGAGCGCCTGAGCTGCTGCTTCAACCAGCGCCAACAAGCCTCAGAGGAGTCACATCCACCTGCCCCGACTGGGTCTAAGGATCACATCTGATCACTGGGTCTGACCCGGTCCAGCCGGCTGACGTATGATCCACAGGCTCGAGTGGATTACACACTTCACACTGATGCTGCTGTTGCCAGACGACCAGGAGGAGCAGATGCAGGCCAGTCTGGATGTGATGCTGCTGCAGACACATCGTAACACGTCCAGGTCCAACCAGACCAGG